TGGACCTGTTTTGATGGATAGCAACCCAAGAGCTGGTGACCTGAAGCGTCCTGCTTTTATCCTCTTTCTTGCTTGCTTTTTTTGATGCTGCTTAAGAGCACTTCACAGTAATTCCCTAGACTGCTAATTCAGCAAACTGCTTAACAAAATACCTCTCTCTTAGTTTATGAGCAGTCCTGCAGGACTGCTGCCATGGTTAAAGGGAGATACATGCTTGGACACCTTGCTGAATCAGAGCCTATAGAGTCTTGCTCATACACAAAGAAGTAAAGTAGAGGCAAAGTAGTCAAGGGCACTGGCCCACTGCATCGCAATACAGGAATCAGCCTGGCTACAAGGGGGCATTTGGCATCCCAAAAGCCTGCTTTGCCTTTGCCTGGCCCACTGGCTCCTCTCTGACACCGACCCCTTGCAGGCCTGCAGCATGCTTGTTCCGGGTGCCGGGCGGCAGGCGCTGTACGCGGCAGTGGGGCACTGGCGACCAGCTCCTGCAGGTTTAGCTGCACCTGGGACACATCTCCCTCTGCCCTGAGGACTTTCAAGGCTCTCTGGAGACAGAGGAGTGTATCCCCCCCGTCTCTGCCACCGCTGTGCAGGGTGTCCACGGCCTGGCCCAGCCCCAGGATCCCCTCTAGCGGCCCACAGGTCCCTGCCTTGGTCCCTGTGGGGCTCCCGCCGATGCCCCCAGGCCCGGCCCCTGCGACACCCACCAGCTGCTGCTGGTGACAAAATCACTAGTGGCCCCTGCGCTACTTCTGCTTTCAAGGGAACTATCACCTTTTATTTCAAAAGTATCGTGAACAGATAGCGTGGGAAGGAGCAAGCAGCATATCTGATTAAAAACACATCCTTAGAGTTGTGCTTGCAACTCTCCCAGCATTGGCATGAGGAGATAAAAGCCAGGAATCTAAGACTGCCATTAAAAATCAGCCACAAAAATCAGAGCAAATTCCAAAAGAAAATATTTTCTTCTTTTGAGAAGTACAGAGCTCGACTGTCCCTCAGGCACACCTTTCCTCTTTCGTGGATCCCCCAGCAACAGGCAGTGGGCAACTTCTGACCCCGCCTTCAGAGCTGGCTGCTCCTGGAGAACTGAGCCTGACCCTTTACCTTCGGCTCGTTTCACATTTTGGTGACGTGAAGTTTCAGATGAACTTTGATACGTAGAGCGATTCCACTTTCCTCGTGTTTCTATGGGCAGAACAAATTGGTACATAATGACCTGGGCAATAAAAATGTTTCTGCAGTTCTCTCTGCCATTTATACACCACTTCTGTGCTGCTGACGATACCAGGTATTTTAGACTTCAGTGCAGACAGACCATAAACCTGGTCTTATTGCCTTGTGAGGAGCACTGCAGAGTCTAGGAGGAACACAGAGCACGTCCAAATGTAACTGATTTCCCCCAGAACAGCTTCTGTCTCACCCGGGCAGCTGCCACATAAATGCTCCCTATGTATTTGCAAGCTATGTGGCTAAATGCACCTTCTAGCACTGGCTGTGCCATGCCCCCGTCGGCTCGGTGAGGCTCTCCAGACCCCGGGCGGTGTGCGTGGGAATCTTTAACGGAACGAAACGTAGGTCTGGAAAAGGGAAAAATGGAGGAGTGACTTCTTTTATTTCCACAAAAAGAGTGAACCCCCTTGAAATGAAACAGGCTGAAGGGCCTGCCACAAAATGTAGCAACCTGACCAACCAAGGGCCCAGAAAGTTGATTATTTTTGTGTATGCAGGAAGTGGTCAGTGGAAAGGGCTCCATTGTGTCAGAACGTGCTCAGTTAGGGACATGGAAACTACATCTGTCGTTGTCTCAGTAAGTCCATTTCTTTAAAGGTCAACCTGGGGCGTTATTTACCTCTTGTCATCCAGGAAGGTCACTTTTTCGCTGTTTTTGTTTCTTGGAGGGTATTTTGTTTAAATAGCCACTGCAATTCCTCCCCCATATTTTTCTGGCTTAGCAGAAATGTCTTATTAAACAGCGTGTTTTTAAACAATGACTGTTGAAGTATGAAGGATACAGTGGCCTGTCCTTTGCACAGTCGTTTGTTTTGAAAACAGGGCTCTGCACAATGACTGTCAAAACGGCAGAGCGAGGTCTGTTCTAGGGATTTCTTCATGTTTCCTCACCCATGCTATCCACGTGGTCCTCATCCAAATTCCTGGCAAGCTCAGCCAGGAAGGGGGGAGTTCCTTCTCTCCAGTTGTAGTTAAGAGGGCACTAGCAGAACTGCATTGCTAATTCTTGCAAAAATGCTCAAATTCAGGTTGGATGCAGACCCTTCCTCCAGAGCTGGACCCCACACTGCAATACAGGAACCGGTGGCAACCCACCCAGGAGCCAGTCCTGCCTTCGCCCCTGACGTGCAGCTGCAAGGGAACAGGGACTTGCAGTAAGCCAGGTAAGCATAGGGAGGTAGCTGCAGAAGTGCCGCACTGAGGGACTGGTCCCAGTCACCACTGTGGGATCTGGAGGTCAGGGCGGCGGGCTGCAGAGCGAGCTGCTTTACATGCATCTGCAGCACCATCTTCCGGCCGTTTGCCCAAACCTGGCATAATCCACTGCATTTTTTAAGCAAAGCACTTCTATGGAATATAAAACTTCTCTGTACAGAGAGAAGTGGTGTGTCTGGCTTTTGGTTGTTGGAAGCTGCTTGTTAGTAGGTTGGCTCTAATTTTTCTTGATAAATACCGTCTAGCAGGTTTCCTTCTCTTTCTCCGATCCAGCTCAGTCTGTGCACGTGTACCGCTTTCTGGCAACTGACGCTTCTTTTCCACCTGTCTCTTCTGGCACTCCTGCAGGGGCTGGTTCTCGCAGTCACCCCACCAGGTCTGTAGTTACACATCCCGGCAGTTGTTGGCCATGGACCAGGCAATGCTGATGGGAAAGGAGGTCTGCCAGGATTTTCTCAAGTGGCTGGTTACCCTAGGCACTGATGTTGTTGGCTGTCAGATGTGCCTTGTGAGGGAGTCAACAACAGGAAGGTAGGTGGTAACGTTTCTTGGAAAATCAGGCCTCACAAGAAATGGAAAACCCCCAAACCAGTAAAACCTCAGAACGTCTAAATTAGGCTCCAGGCGCAGACTGTGTGTATGGTCACTTGTTTGCTCATTTACTGCACAGCAGCACTAACAGAATCAATACAATTTTGTCCAATCGCAGCATTGCCTTATTGCCTGGCTCCTACGCCTGTGGGGCCCGTGGTCACGCAGCCATGCCCGTCTCCCCAGAGACCTCAGCTAAGTTATGGTGTTTCTCAAGGGTTCATGTCGGCTGTGCAGGCTGCCCTGGTGATTTCCGCTGATAGTGCTTATGCCAGCCCTCTGCTGTGGGGGCAGCCCACGTGACAGAGGCCGTGGTGGGGGAGATGTCTGCTCTGCTGGCTGAGCTGGGTCAGCGGGTGGCCGGGCATGTGTTGCGTTGTGTGGGACAGGTAACCCCCGTGGGAGCTGGGGTGGATAATGTTGTCCTGCGGCTGCGGGCTCCTGCAGGGCTGTGGCTCCCCTTGCCTCTTTGCCCCGTGTGCCTGAAGCCATGCAGGGTGATGGGACTGCCCCAAGAACCGCAGTGCCTCCCACAGCTCTGGAGGCGATGGCAGGGCAGGAAGGTGTGCTTGGAGAGGAAGAAAGGGTGCCCTGGGCCCTGGAGGAAGTGCGACTCCCTGTGACGACTCTGCTGGTGCAGAAATATCTATGGATTTGCACAGTGCAAGGAGAGCATTGCCCATTGCCGTGCTAGTTTAGAAAGAACTCCAACTTGCTTTCTAATGAAAACTGTGAGTTAAGAATAGCCCTCACACTTAACAAGAGACAAGGCAATTACGAAGATAAAGTCAAAGCAAACAGAGGCTCAACATCATGTGTGAGATGATCAGGTCCAACCAGTTGTAATTCAGCATTGTTAGGATGTAAGTTTGGTGAACTGGCTGGCCTCCAGCTGCTGAGCATCTGCCAAACAATTTGGCAAGACTAGAAACAGAGGCTCAGCAAATTAAGCTGTGCATCATCTGCTTATCTATGGGTGCTTGACCTGCAATTAAAAGAAAAAAAATTAAAAGAGCAGGGAATATCCAGCCAGGGATAGCAGTGCTGAAAGCAATGGATGGATGTGGGCTCCAGTTGCTTGACATCAGATCCGGTTAGATAGGCCTCTTGTTGTTTCATAGAGGTCAGAACATGATATTTCTTGAGCCTGCATGTCAAAAAATGTTTAGTTTTTAAAAAGTAAAATTGCAGTAAGAAAAAAAATACCCAAGGTTTAACATGTAGTGACAGAAAAATCTAGCCTGTAATAGGTGTCCTGATTACTTCTGATGTCTCGCTTGATTACTGAAGTATACAAATACAGGTCCTGAATCTGCAAGCTACATAACTGTGCTTACATTCAGGCAGCTGGGTAATCTGGTGGGACAGTTTCTCTGTGCTCTGTTCAACATACATCTAGTTTTTGCAGCGTCAGGGCTATAAACCAGTTCTCACCTCATTCATCCTGTTGTTGAACTGTGCTGCCTTTGGGAGAACTGAAATCTGTGATCACAACTGGGTTCCTGAAGGCAACTAAACAACCTAGTATGATAGAAATGGAGGAGGAATCCAATTTTGGATTTCCAGCTGCTTACAGCTTCTCTACTCTTAACTTCTTCCCCGAAACTCCCTCTCCTAGCCCAGGAGCTGGGCATGAAGATGAAGCTGCCCGGTGGGCAGGGCACAGCCTAAGCACAACTGTCGTCCCCAGGGGTGCTGGCAGCCTCCAGGGCTACGTTTCGGCCTGAGGGCCTCCCTGCTGGCTTGGGAGCTAGGCCACGATGCTCTTCAAGGGGAATTAGAGGCGATGAAACAAATAGAAAAATGGAGCGATACGTGCTACAAGGGTCACCGCCAATGAGCCGCTTCCTGTCTTACCTCATAGAAGAAAAATTCGTCAGCCCCTCTTTTTTCCCCATTCCCAGACCGGCTGTGTGTTCTTCCTGAGAAGTTTCCATGGCCCTGGGGGCTCCGTTCTCTCATAATCTTTCAGTATTTATGACTGTTGTGGGACACAGCGTGGAAAATCCTGAAAGGTCTTAAAGGTTTTGCAGATGGCCTTGTGGGAAATGATCCACAGCCAAGCCTGCACCCCAGGTTTTTCAGGTTAAGGCTGAGAAGCTTTTCGTTAAAATGACTGTGTACTGCCACACGTGATTCGGTTTGTTCAGCGTGTTTGCCAGTCTGGTTTTGCTTACTGTGTGGACCTGATGGGATATTGAAGAAAAGACAAATTATTGCCCTCTGTAATCAAAACAGAAAACACTGGATGACAGAGGTAGTGGTTGTTGTTGTTGTTGTTAATAGTTTTTGCATGTAGGAGCCTCAGTTGTAAATTAAGATACTCTTGTAGCCATGTATCAAGCAGGACAAAAAGAGAATTTCCAAGCCACAACTGCGTATGAGTTTGGTGTGTACCACACTGAATATAACATGCTTCTTGTTTTGCTTTAACCTTTTTAGAAGCAGAATTACAAAGCAAAGAGACCAGCTACGATTAACATTACCTCTAAGAATATTTCTTCCAGCATGTGTACACGTTCCATGAGGTATTTCCAAATTCATGAGCAACTGTCAGTGTTCAGAGAATCTGGACACTCATTTTGAAAATGATTTCCCGGACACATACTCCAGCCTCCACTGCACAGCTTCAGAGCGCTTGCAAACAAGAGTGGCAGAGTCTTTACTGCAAACTGATGGCAAATTAGCACAGAGGCTTAATATTCCTAGCATTTCAGAACTGAAATTTAGCTGGAATATGGGAAGACTTGGCATTTCTTTGTCTTTCACTAGCAAGTTCTCCTCTGTGCCTATAAACTGTTCATTGCACTATCAGGAATACTGTTTGCATGTAAGAACGAAATCCTGCTGTGACCTTTTTAGTCACGATGGACTCAGCATCGAAGCTAGGCTTGAGGTTATTCAGGGCCTATTATAACATCATCCTTGTTAGTGTCATGCCACTTTGTGGGTGACATTCCTCCAGATCGCTCAGATCAAAGTAAGAGCGCAGCCCGGCCCACTGCCAGAGCGTGTGTTGACCATACCAGTCCAGACTGGTTAAACGTGTTTCCTTTGGGATCCATGGCAATCCTTTCACATCTTCTTTCCCCACCAACGTCACCGGCATTTAAGACTGTTTGTGTTTGGCTTTGGGCACGCACACAGAAGTCGCACAGAGTTTTGGGGTCCAAGAGCTGGGCAGCTTTCCGAAGTTGGATGTGGGGAGTGCAAGTTCCCAGCTGCAGGGCTGGTGGGCCTCAACATGCTCGGCCTTGTTGTGCCACGCTCTGTTGATTCGCTGAGGGCAAGCGCTCGTGCTCCAGCACTGCTCGTGCCTCTGCCGCTGCCGGAAAGATGTCGTCCTCCGGGAAGCGTGACGTGCTCCAGTGGAGCGAGGCAGCTGGCAGGAGCTGGCGGCAGCGCCGCCTGATCAGGCTGCTAGGGCTGCGGCGTGCCACTGGCTGCACTTTGGGTGGTAAAGGGCTTGTTCCCCCACCCCGGGAAGGGGCTGCACTCTCCATCCTCCACAGAAAGGGAAGGAGCAGGACCGCTTCTCAGTCCCATCTCTGCCCTGAGAGAGGCTAGCCAAGTCCTCCTTAAAAGAGAAAGGGAGCATATTCTGGCTGGCACCCAGGTAGTGCCGTGCAAGGTCACGGTGAGGCTCACCGCCGGAGCTTGCGCGCCTTCTGCAAGGTGCAGGGAAGAGCCTTTGAAAAGCCAGGCAGAGGCGCGGGGTGAGTTTCCCCTGAGGCATCCAACCAGGGCAGCACTGCTGCAGGGACAGAGGAGTCCATCCCCACCACAGCTTTATCACCCTTGGTAAATCTTTCTGAATCTCCTTTTCTTCTTGTACTAAGCACAGACAGTGCACGTGCTACCACCAAGCCCAGCAGCACAGTGACCCTGAGCAGGGGGAATACGTGCACGTTTGACCCCGGTGGGGATTTCCTCGGCTGTCCCTGGAGTTGCAGAGATGGGCCTGCAGCAAGTGCAAAAAGCAACTTGCGGGAGAAAGCTGGAGAGTGCCAGCTCGCTGGATGCGCTCTGCTCTTGTTTGTGAGGGGAGTGGTGAGGACTTGATGTATAGCTACGTGCTTCAGCCTTTCTTTTTATGATGAAGTTGAGCAAGGTAGATTTTGATGTGTTGAAAAACAAATTCAGTAAATGCCTTCCAGAGTTTGCATGTACTTGTGTGCTCACAGTAGCCTTCAGTGCTTTGCCAGCTGTCCCAGAGCTCGCAGAGATGAGCAGGGAGCAGTTCAGGCTGAGTGCGAAGAGCAGCACGTAGGAGGAAGCTACGAGGTTCTTTACCAGGGAATGGCTGTGGTTTCTGTTTCTCAGTGTACAGCACCTAAATATACTCCTCTAGTCAGTAATATCTTTACAATGAATAATGTGTACTGCTCTTGTTTGTACAATACTAGTTCCTTAAACCTGCTGAGGTTCCCACCTGCTATGAAGCATTAGATATCCAGCGCTGCCTTTGGACGCTTGCAAAGTTGTCCTTGCACAGTTGGCAGGGTCAAAGACCTGCCCCATGTTTTACATCTCCGGGCAGCCCTGTGTTAGGCCAGCCGCCAGCCCCCGGTGCATGTCCCATAAATAGCTTGGCGGCGTAAAGGTTAGCGTTTGCGTTCGCGTGCCCGTTGGTGGCCGTGGTTTGCCTGGTGAAAATCCCAGCTCCTCTGGGGCAGCTGAGAGGCGGCGCGAGCACGGGTCTGTGCGCCGGGCCGGCTGCAGGCGTCGTGCTTTGCAGGCGAGGCTGCTTTTGTGTCAGCTGGACAAAGTCTGCCGTGTTTCCAAAACTGACAGTTTGCATTAGCACCAAATGAGCTGTGCAGGTTCTGTCACTGTCAGCTCTGAAAACACTCTGTTTTTTTAAACAAAATTTTTGAGTTTAAGACCAACTTGGGGGCAGTTAAGATTTGTAAAGTTTAGCCTTTAAGTGCTTTTCCCTGCAGCAACAGGGGCTATGAGTTCCTTGCAGCATCCTCTATGCCCCAAAGCTGGGGCTATGAGAAAACATCAAATAAAACCAAACTCTTGAGCGTAGTTATTGAAGTGCGTACAGCTGTCGCTGCAGTCCTGCAGCCCTGTACCAGCTGCTGAAGAGCGAAAGCTGCTCGCGGTGGGGCAGGGCCGTGGCTGGGCCGTGTGCCGGCACAGGGGACAGCGGCTGCCCGGCAGCACCGCGTGGTACCCTGCACCCTGGCGGTGCCGCATGCCACTCAGCGATGGACTAACCCGAAACGTGCCAGCCCATGCCCTCCCTTGGAGGACCTCTCTCTCCCTGGGGCGGCTGCACGGCTAACTCTCAGCTGCCAGATTTCAGCTTGCAGGTGCAACGCTGGGCCGTAGCGTGCTGGAGTCGAGCGGTGAGCGCTTTCCTGCTCAGCCAGCCCGACGAGAGGACGGAGAAGAGAGCTTGGGGCAACCCCTTTCTGAGCCATCCCATCTCTGCATTCCCGCACCCTAACCCTGAAAGAAAAAGCAGCGGTGCAGGGGGCCGGCACGGGTCCGTCCAGCGCCTGCAGGTGTGTTGGTGGGGAAGGGAAGGGTCTGTGAGCCCGTGCAGACACGGGGTGGCACACTGCGTGCACCGACTCCCAGGGTCCTAGGAAGCCGCTCATAAGCATTATTTGTAAGGCCTTTCAGAGGCTAATAATTTGGTTAAATCTGGATAGATTTTTGTGAGGAGAGTAGAAGACATATCCTTCATCCTTTCGTGGACTGTACACCAAATTTTGCACCTCTTTGTTCTAACATAATCCTGTTCCCACCCCAACAAAATTGGTACAGTGGAAAAAACATTTTTTTTCCCCTTGCCAAGCTCTTCCCTGGAAACGGCTGAATTAAATTTGATCAAAGTTATTAGCAACTAAAACAGGGCCTGAAGGATCTGTCTTAGCCAGCTATCACTTTAGCCACCTTCACCTTTGATGGAATTAGAAAGGGTGGAAATTTTCTGTTCAATAAAAAAACAGGAATTCAGCAGGGCTCAAGACAAGTGTCCCCAGCCTCTATACAACGTTGTCCCAGAACGTGTAGTATTAAATAAAAAACTGCCCTTCTCTGGGACAGGTGAAGGGGTGAGGGAGGGCTAATTTTTTAACATGAGTGTTTAACAAAGGTATTTTTTTTATTCAGTTCTGTAGAATGGTTTAAAATATGCATAATTTTCTAATAAATGGTTCATTTTTTTAAAGATGTGTCCCCAAAGAAATCAAAAGTCGCTGCTGCAAGGACATGGTGCTAGAAGAATCCTTTCTTTTCAAATAAGTCTTTCAAATGAAACCTGTTCTTCAGTCATTAAGAAAAATAGTGATGCTTATAAAGGTGAGTCAAGCATGGTAGCAGCAAGCCGTGCCGGTTTTATTGTCATGTATTACGGGAGCTGCCAGCGCTCTTTAGCAGCTAATTAATTTGATGAATTTTGCCTCTTTTTCTGTTCATGAGCTGTCTCTAAGCAGAAGACAATTTTCTCTGATTGACTGGAGTACTGTTACTCATGTAATAATCATCCTTGTTACATGAGTACACGCAACTAAAGCAATTTCTGGTATTGGTGTTACTGCTTGCACGGTCCAACTCCTTTGCGGTAGAGTTAGGAGCTGTACTAATACTTAGATTTAATGAATGATTTCTCATCGATTTTTCAGCTGGAGGAGTAGTTCACACGAGATATTTTATACTTCGTGGAGCAGATGTGTTTTCAGCCTGCCCTGACAGGGATGGGAAACCTCCAGGGGACAGGACAGTGGGAGAGAGGTCGGGGGAGCCCCGGATCCCGCTGGCAGGTGTGGATTGGACCTTCGTAACCAGGTTTCCAGGGAAAACCCCAGATCATGCTAATTCAGCATCTGCTTCCTGCAAATATTTTCCAGCTCTTGCTTAAAGTTTCCAGCTTTCATGAACATCTTTGCCCATAGATGAAAGTGCCAGAGCTCCTGCTTGCAGAGGCGCTTGTCGCTGCTGCGGTGGAGCGGGCCCGCCCCGGGCGCCCGCCAGCCACAGGGACGCCTCCGCACAGTGCACATCGTGGGCAGGAGCAGCATAAAGAGGAAATGGGAATTCCCTATCCTGGTTACTGCTGTGATGCCTGTGAGATCGCAGCCTGAAAGCCCATGGGGGGGGATAACACCTAATTTCTGTGTCCCAGCTGTTCCGTGCCCAACTTCTCCCTTACCTGAGGGATGAGAAACAAAACTGGGAAGACACTTGTAAGGATTTGTGTGATATATAATGGTGGCTGTACTGTACTGTGGGATGAATGAGCAAGAAGGGGGCAGGAAATTGTTTCTCTTGGTAGCACCGTCAGAGAAACCAGGTTATCAAACCACAGCTAAAACCATGCTGATGGCTGCGTCCAGGCGGAGCTGTGGGGCACATGGGAAAAGATGTTTAGATGAAATGCCATGTTTCTGGAACTGAGACATCCCCAGAGCTGGATGGCTGCTGAAGGGTTTTTACCGGGTCACAATCCTGGATTTAGGTACCTATTTTCCATGGAAGTCCCATTTTAGGTGTCCAAGTCCTGTTTTGGATCTGACCCTTTTCATCTCCTAGCTGGGTCATAGCAGGAGGATGCTGGGGACTGATACACCCAGCAAAATGACTAACCTAGAGAGGCAGGAGGAAGATGTTTCAGAGAGGAACAGGATCCTCTGGAGATCTTCTCAGAAGATAGAGAGAAACAACTGGTAGCAGAAGGGCTTGAGTTTTAGAGCTAAAACAGGCTGAGCTATGAACCAAATGGGCCCTATCTGAAGACTATGACAAAAAGGAGATTTCTTCAAGAAAACTGTTGCATGACTCACTCCTACACCTAGCCCTTGGTGGAAGGGAACCATGCATTCAGGAATGGACAAAGACCTCTTTAGGACAGCAGAGGGATGTGGCTTTGATTTTGAGAAAGGGAGTGCTGGAGGGGTGCGCAGGCGCTCTGCATGGGGCAGGAGCTGTGCAAGTGCCTTGCAGCACTCAGATGCCCTCAGGAGAGCCCACCTGGGGCTGGCTGCTGTCGCTGAGGTGGTGCCGTTTGCCACGTAGCAGCGAGAGTTAGAGGCAGTATGATAATAACACT